CTTTCATATTTGTAGATTTTATCTCCTGAGAACATTTTACAAAAAATTCTTTAATTATCAATTACTAGAGAATAAACTATTAATTTCATTGTTAAAAAGTCATAACAATTTATGTCCTAAAAACAAAGTTTGACTTCAAATTTCAAATTTTTATGGAAACAGTACAGTGACTTGTTAGTTTATTAGAACCACATGGCTAGGAATAAACATTACTATTTTGGATGAATACGCTGGGTGAGTTTTTCAGAAGCATAATGATTAGAGATGCACTTAAAAATACCTGTTTCTAAAACAGAATGTTAGTGGCATTTTAATGAACATTTTAAAAAATCAATAATGATGATAAAATAATCCTTATTTGCAGATGACATGATTCTATATGTAGAAAACCCCAAAGATTTCACCGAAAAAAAAACCCATTAGAGCTAATAAATGAATTCAAAATCAACATACAAATATCAGTAGCATTTGTATATACAAATAATAACCTAGCTGAAAAATAGAGAACAAGAAAACAATCCCATTTATTATATTAACAACAACAAAAAAAACCCTTAGGAATAAATGTAACCAAGAAGATGAAAAATTTGTACACTGAAAACTATAAAACATTGATGAAAGAAATTGAAAAAGACACAAATATATGGAAAGATATCCCCTGTTCATGGATCATAATTAATATTGCTAAAATGTCCGTATTACCCAAAGCAATCTTTACCAAAATTCCAATGACACTCTTCACAGTAATAGAAAAAAACAATCCTAAAATTTGTATGGAACCACAAAAGTCCAATTGGCCAAAGCAATAATGAGAAGGAAATACAAAGTTGGAGGCATCACATTTCCTGATTTAAAACTATATTACAAAGCTATAATAACCAAAACAGTATGACATTGGCATAAAAACAAACACATGGATCAATGAAACATATTAGAGAGCCCAGAAAAAAATTCAAACATATGTGGTCAACTAATTTTCAATCCAGGCACCAAGCAGTCACAATGGGGAAAGGATCATCTCTTCAATAAATGATGCTGGAAAGCTAGATTTCTGCATGCAAAGGAATGAAATTGGACCCTTTTCCCACACACGAAAAATCAACTCAAAATGGATAAAAGATCTAAATGTAAGACCTGAAACAATGAAACTTCTGGAGGAGAACATAGGGCAAAAGCACCTTGACATTGACCTTGGCAATGACTTTGTATAACACACCAAAAGCTCAGGCCACAAAAGTAAAAATGAATGAATGAAACCAAATCAAACTAAAAAGCTTCTGCACAGGACAGGAAACAATCAACAAAATGAAAAGGCAACCTACGGACTAGGAAAAAGTATATGCAAACCATATATGATAAGGGGTCAATATCCAAACTTTATACAAAAGTCTTACAACTCAATAGGGGAAAAAAATAATATGATTAAAAAAATGGGCAAAAGACCTGAACATATATTTCTCCAAAGAAGACATAAAAATGGCCAACAGATACATGAAAAGGTACTCAGCATCACTAATCACCAGGAAATGTAAATTAAAACCACTGTCAGATATCACCTTATACCCATAAGAATGGCTATTATCAAAAAGACAAGAGATAACAAATGTCAATGAGGGTGTAGAGAAAAGGGAACCATAGTACATGGTTGGTGGGAATGTAGATTGGTATAACTGTTATGGAAAATGGTATGCAGGTTCCTAAGGACATTAAAAATAGAACTACCATTCAACCTAGCAATCCCTCTTCTGGGTATATGCCCCAAAGAGATGAAATCACGACCTCAGAAAGACATCTGCACTCCCATATTCATTGCAGCATTATTCGCAATAGCCACAGTCTGGAAACATCCTAAGCATCCATCCATGGATGAATGAATAAAGAAAATGTAATATATATATATGTTTACATATACACAAATACTTACACATATATGCGTACATATACACATAATGAAATATCATTCAGCCTTAAAAAAAGTAGATCCTGCCATTTACCGTAATATCGATGGACCTGGAGGCCATTATGCTAGTTAAATAAGCCAGACATGGAAAGAAAAATGTTATATGATCTCACTTATATGTGGAACCTGGGGAAAAAAAAAAGTCAAATATACAGAGAGAATAAAACAATGTTCCAGGGGTGGTCGGGAGAGGCGGGGCAGGGCAGGGGGAGATGAAGAGATATAGATCAAAAGATACAAGGTAGCAGTATGTAAGATGAACAAGTCTAGATATTTAATGTACAGCATGAGGACTATAGTTAATAAAATTATATCATATTTGAGGTTTTTGTTAAATAAGTAGATTTCAGCTGCTCTTGTCACAAAAAAGTAATGTGGGATGTTAGATACGTTTATCTGCGTCACTATAGTAACAATTTTACTATCTGTATCATATAACATCGTGTTGTAAACCTCAAATGTAAACAATGGAATTTATTTTAAAAATAAATAAAATGTAGCTGAAAAAAATAAAATTAACAATATAGGTACATATATGAAATATACATGATTATATATATTAAGAATGTTAATATTATAAATTTTCATATTGCTTCATAAGAGATATTTAGGCCTATGAGCAGAGAACATGGACACTGTGATTAATGCATTAAATAATTAGAGATATATTTAGTAATACAAAATGAAAAATTTTGGTATTTATTTTACTATATTGGTTCAGCTGTTGAGTTGTGGAATCAAAGTCTTTGTGTTTGCAGTCTGGTATTTTCACTTCCCGGCTATCTGATTTTGGCAAGTTATTTGTGACTAATAAAAATGAAGTTAATAATAGTACCTACTTTGTAGACTTGGGCTTAATAAATATCAGCTGTTACCATTATTATTATGGTTATTATTGTAATTCTAGCAGTAAAAGACATAACTGTTCTATATGATACCATTAAAGAATAGTTTATCCATTACTTATAGTTATTATAATAATAGCTCCATGAAGACTAGATATCTTCATGGATATCAGGTATTTTCATAATTATATTTTTCTGAATATAAAAATAATACACATTCTCTTTTTCTATGAATGATTTTTTTCTCCCACTGAACAATATTTTCTGAGCATTGTTCCACGTAATTATTTATGGATGTACCCAAATCTTTTAAACAAGTATATACAACTTTATAATACAATTATAATACAAATTTTTTAAAAACAATTTCCCTGTTTTTATTCATTTTGTAGTTACTACACTCTTTGGTTGTTACCAGAGCACTCTATACTATATGTGTTTTTGTATTTTTACATATACCTAGAAGTATCTCTTTAGACCAGATGTCTACTTGTTTTGCTGGAACATAGCATACACATTTAATCTACAAATGGATAGCCTAAGCAAAATTTTCTTCCAAAAATATTGGATTATTTTTCCCTCACTACTCATTTATTCAAACCATTAGTAATGTTTGGTGAAATTAATCTTTTATTATTTTGCCACTTTGGTAAGTGAAAGTTGTTTTTTATATTATTGATTTACAATTTAATTACTAGGGAGGTAAGTAGCTTTTTATATGTTCGATTATTTATATTTTGTTTAAATCATCTATTTATTTCTTTTATGCAATTTTGTCCTTTACTGGTTTTTTAGACGCTCTTTATCTGGATATGTTTTGTCTTCTCTTCTTTAGTCAGATCTGTCAGATGTTTCCTTGGCAGTTCATGAATTCACATTATCTTTTAAAGGTTTTAATTCCATGATTATAAAACAGCCCCCTATATTGTCTTTTAATAATCTTACAATTTACACATTTAAGTTTTTCACCTTTTTGGAGTTTATTTTTAAGTCCATTGTGAGAGAATGATTAAACTTTATTTTCTTCCAAATATATAGCCAAACTTCTAATAGCTTCTTACTGAAAAAACACCAGCATTATTATTATTTGTATCATTACCATTATTGAAGACTTACAACTGCCAGCTCAATATTAAGTGTTTTACATATATTATCTCTCTTAGCTTTTATAATTACCTTCTGAGACTGCTACTGTTATTATTATATCTATTCTACAGATGGAGAAATCACAGCATGGAGAGCTTATAATAACTTGCCAAAGATCATGCTGCTAGAAAGTGGTAGAGTGATCAGGAGTGAGGACTTGGATCTAAATAGCCTAGTTCCAGAACCTGCAACCCTCATCACTCACTGCGTTATGCAGTTTAAATTTATGCTGGTTCCTGGTGCCTCCCACTCTGGCTACTTTCCAATGGTAACAGTCCTCTGCATCCTATCTTTAGGCTTCATCAACCTCTTGGCCTTCATCCTACCCCGATTCTCCTTCAGTGCCACCTCTTCCTGCATGTCTTCTCTCCTGGCCAGCAGGGTGGGGCACATTCCTGGCCTCTGTTGTTCATGCTCTTCATTTCTGCGGTGGGTGCAGAGCAGCAGCTCTGTTTGGATAGGCAGTTTAGCAGAATAGTACATATGTGCCACAGAATCCCCAAAACTGAAATATCTGTTCTTACCAACCACAAGAAGAGAAGACAGATTGTGAATTTGAACACAAACTGAGTTGCTTTTTGTGTCTATCTCTAATATTTGTTGAATAACTACCTCATACCAGGCTCAAGTGTCACATTAAAATATTACTAATGTTACTAAAATTAAAATTACATGGTATATGAATGTTACACTCAGAATGAAATTTCTAAATAACATACATGTCAAATGTTGAGCTCTTCATATAGAATGATAGGAAGTTTTGTTCCAGTTCTCTGAAACTTCTTCCCTCTTAAAAACTAGTGTTTATCTTTTTAATCTCTTCAAATATGCTCTACTCCTCCCCAAGTTCTAGCATTAAAAAATGTGCCATGAACATGAAAAGGGTGAAAGCTGGGGCACATTGTAGCAAAATTTGAATTAGGTGATTTGAATTTTACTGTACTGAAATACTACAGAATGAACTCCGTTTATTGAAAAAGGCCAATTCAACTCTGTGTCTGCAGATTCAGGCCTTTTCTTACCTGACTTCTCTTGGTTTGGTGTCTTAGTCTTCAGGAACCAGCATTACTGTGGATATCGCTGTGATGGGCGAGGCGCACGGCCTCATTACCGACCTCCTTGCAGACCCGTCTCTGCCACCGAACGTGTGCACGTCCCTGAGAGCTGTGAGCAACCTGCTCAGCACACAGCTCACCTTCCAGGCCATCCACAAGCCCAGAGTGAATCCTGTCGTTTCCCTCAGTGAAAACTATACCTGTTCCGATTCTGAAGAGGGCACTGAAAAAGACAAGCTGGCTATTACTAAGGTAGGTGTTAATGACATACTCCTTAAAGGGATAGACTTTTCCTTTTAATCAACTTCTAGGTCTCCTTTCTGTTACTCCCGGCCTAACCTGCAGATTCATTTCAGTGACTGAGCGAGATGTTTGATCATGGAGACAAAAGTAATAAAAATTTAAACATAAAGACTTCTGTTTTTATACTTGACAACTTTCTGTAAGTAGAAAATTTACCTTTTTACATTGCCTTTTTCATTTAAACTTCCAAGAAGTTTTTACCTGCAAGAAGTTTGTACTTCTACGTGCCAAGCTCTGTTTTAGGTAATAAGGATATTGCAGGGGCAACAAAAAGCAAAAATCCCTGTTCCATTCTAGCGCAGATTCTGTTTAAAATCCATTGCTTGTAAAACTTAAGGTTCCTTTGCTCTTTGATTTCTTTGTATGATATCCTTCAAAGTACTCTCATGGCTTTACCAAATATAAGTTTTGAACTGAGAATGGTTTTAGTTAATTATAGCTTATTTAAAGTAAAAGATGGTCTTAGTGATTTATATAAACTCATACCTTATATATAAAAATAGGAAATAATACACATTCCTTTTACATATAAGGTTTGAGTTTTACAAAAGTAAGTTGTAAAGGAATAGGATCATGCACCCAGTTCAGACCTCAGTATTAATTAAAAATAAGTCATATTAAAAGGCTAAAAATATCAGAATGTCAGTGGTCTCTGGTACATTCAGCACAGTTATTTATTTAGTAAACAAGCAACTGTCCCCTTGAGCTGGTGGTCAGTTAGTAACATCTGTGTTCCTCCTGTTGTGATATTGTCTTGACTCAGGAATGTGATCTTCATAACTTGGACAATTATGTTTTTATACCATTTCCTTTAAACGTCCACTTCCCTAAGAAAGATACACCTAAGCATGAAATGACAGTAAAGAAATGGAGAGAGGCAGAGATTAACTGGTTTCTTCAGGTGTCAATCAGACTTGAGGTCAGTGACAGATTTAAGGCAAGAAACCTGGTATCTACCAGTTGGACCTTTTCTCTTTCTATGAATTGCCTTCTAAGAGACACTGGAAACTTTGGCACCTGAGCTGTTCTTGAATTCCAAGGTGCCGTACACTTCTCAAAAGTTTTTACCTTCTTCAGAAGAGCAGCATGTGTGTTTGTAAACTCTGTCTACACGGTTTGTTTACTAGGAATCATTAGCCACAAATCAAAGTGGGCCGAGGTTCTGCCTCTTATGACTGTTGCTGATGGAGTGTTAGGAGAATACCTTCACTTTCATACTTAAGGTCAAGACCCTCTTTAGAGTGCTGGTGTCCCTCCTGGTGAGTCCAGATTCTCACCTCAGTGCTGATGCTGCCACACGTGCCATTTGGGATGTGGTGGGAGGAGAAATAATGAAGAGAGGGAACAGCAGGTCAGCCAGCAGGGCCTCCTATCAAGAGGAGTTGATACCAATGACATTACCCAAATCTCTGAGTTTGTTACACTAACATAAGAAAAGTGGTGCATTTTGCAAAAGAATTACATTCTTAAATTTAGCCCTTATCATTTGAGATCAAGGTAATAAAATTAATAATTACTTAGGGGTATGGACTACTGTACAAGATGATATAAATTAATCCATGCCCCAAACAAGTGACTTTTGAGGAAAAACTTCTCATAATAACTGATATTATACATGCATATAAGTGTGTAAATCCTGTTGAACATATATAACTATAAAATTATCCCAGAGGTAATTGACTCTGTAATCCCAATTTGCATAAGCATCACAATAAAGACCCCAAAATGTTATCTTTATAATATTTATTCATTTTGGCCAGAGAGTCTTTTATGGAATTTCTAAGCACCTAAATTTTAGATGGGTAATATCCAACCAATACAGTCGTATCAATTGCCTTCCAATTAAAAGCTCATTTTCTTCCATTATATTACATAAAAGTTAGAGATATAAAACATGCTTGGTAATAAAATCCACACTCTTTCCTAGCGCCTGAGAAGGAGTTTGCCCCCGGGCTTGTTGAGACGAGTTTCTTCGACTTGGACAACCACCACCTCAGCCACAGGTCTGCCCACCCTGGAGCCTGCACCGGTACGGAGGGACCGCAGCGCCAGCATCAAACTGCACGAAGCACCTTCATCCAGGTTAGATGATGCTCCTGCTGGTTTTATGTCTCTTAGTGAAGTTACTTAACAAAAAGGGATTATAGATGACAGGAGAAGGAAGGCCTAATCAATTACAGTTGCCTGGAGGGTAGCTTCAATAATGGAAAAGGTATATGGTTTCAATGCAGAACACTTATAGAGATTGATATCAGATAATTAGGCTTAAAGTCTTTTGTGGGGCCTTATATATAAAGTGGGAAGAGTGACCTGAAGTGATCCTTGCCACTGCGACCTTGTCTGGGAAGGGTCAAGCCCAGGATAAAGGTAGGCAAGGTTTTAGCTGCATTGAAATTCCTGCTGAGACCCTTAAATCAAAAGTATCCAACCTGACACTTGCAGTTGATGTTAGATTGTCCTAGCCCACCAGACTGCCTGTTTTAGCCTCATACAAAAGGCAGAGGAGCAAATCAAAAGTAGATCATCATCCTGAAAACACCTTGATACGTTCAAACATTTGATAATTTAAACTTTATTTAGGATGTGAGTTCCAATTTTACAAAGTGACATAAAACCCAGAATTACCAAAGCTAAAGAAAAGGTAATATTAAGATCTAAAAAAGAATTTTGCAGAAAATAGCTAATGAAAGAAGTGCTTTTAGAGGGAGCTATTGTGTTTGTCCTTTTCTATTTAGGATTAAAATGTCATACTTTATTTGAATTTAATGATTATGAGAATATTTACCATACAATTTCATGTTTTTGACACATATGTGTATTTATCAGTTCAATTAATGACCTAAAGAATGAAAAAAAAATCTTTGTTGAATTACATCATAACAATATGAGAAGTAATTTTCTCCTTATTATAGCCTCACATATACATGAAGCACCATGCTAAGACTGGCAGAAAAATGGAAACCTTTCAAATTATAAGAATTGAGTGACTGTTGATTCGTTTTGCTTTCTTGATTAAAAATATTTAATGGATTATTCCTATAAATGTTTATGTTCCAATAAACCTATAGAATTAGAAGCAAACTCAAATGATTTTTTCATATATCACTATAATTCCACTCCATTCTATTACTGGACTTGTGTAAAACTTCTAAATACTACCACAAGAAGGAGATTATATACCATTTCATGAACATTTCCTAAATGTTTGGAATTAGATGTCATTGGTAATATTTTTCTCTAAAAATACAGACTATTGTCAATTTCTACAGCAAATACTGATAAATGGTAATTAATAGTAATATACTTAAATATTGCTTAAGAAACCAAATTATGTTGTTAGTGTATATGATTAGAGAGGGTGCCTGTTTTACCAACACGCCTTGCCAAGTCTCCTATCATAGTAGATTTAATACATCATGATTTTGGTTCCATAGACTGCCTCTACCCAAACTCCATTCGTACCTTCTTAGATGTCTTCTTTCTGTTATTCTTTGTTAATTCTGGTCAAATCTCACTTCTCCTTTTCTCATCTCTTAGTCAATTAAATGAAATTGGGGGCTGAAACTGAAATGATGACATGGAAGAAAGTTTCAGGAACTTTTATGAGCTTAATTCCCAAGGATCTTGTCATTCTGCTTTACAAGATAGATATTCACATTCATATTTTCAAAAGAGATAAGGAACAGCATATAATCCTACTTATTCTCATTCTATCAATCCTAAAAATACTCATAGATGTCTTGTCTGGTTGGGTATACATCTTCCTACTGTCTCACTTACTACCTCTTAATTTCACTGTCCTGTGAAAAGTCCTAATGTAAAAATCTGAAAGTGACATAATTTTTCACCATTGTGGAGAAATGAAACTCATGCTGAAGAGAATTCAAGCCCCTAAGGGAAAACCATATATAAGTAAGTGGCAGTGGTGCCACCACTAAATACAACTAGTTTGGGCCCTGATTATAAATCAAAGTTAAAACCCTCTTTACTGAGAAATATTGTTAAAACTTTTGATTGGTTTTGAAACTGACTTGAGTTTCAGCCCTGAAGTTTCTTCCCTTTAGCCCTTTTATTTCTTCCTTTCTGGATCTGTCCTTTTATTTGGGGCTCTTTGAAGACTATAGTGTTCAAAAGAAGAACAAGAGTGAGAAGTAAAAATTAGAAGCAGTTTACAACTTACATTCCTTTAGGTGTACAGCTGGAAAATTTACTCCTGGGTAATTTTAAACACAGTCTGGGAGACACTGGACTGAGAATCAGAAGGATGCTGGCTCTACCACTCAGAAATGGGTGTTCCGAGGGGCAAGTCTTTAGCCTTCCGGAGCCTCCATACCCTCTACAAGAGATCCTTAAGAAAAAGGGGAACTATGGCATAACTGGAGGGACAAATTAGATGGAAGAATGCAAGTAGGTGCTTTAAAAAAATAGGCTTCAGATAAATAGAAAAGGCTAAAATACATTATACCTCAAGTCATTCCAAGTTGATCTTGCAATTGATCCCTGCCTCTGTACATTGGGCAAAAAGAAAGCTGTAAACCTCATAAAAGAGACTATTACCTGGTAAGACTTTTCAGACATGTTATTGGAAGAATAAGGATATGAAACCACTTTCGTGAAGAGGGTTGAGATCTTTCATCACAGGCACATAGACGATTTTTCTCTGCTGTGTCAACATTGAAGAAACCAAGTGAAGATTTCCTTAGGCTGTTTTCGTCTCCAGAATTCAAATTATTACATATTCCTGAGATCTAAACAGGAACGAGGAAATAAGCAGCAATGAAATGCTGAAAACTATTGTGAGGATCACATAAAGCAATATATGAAAGCGCCTATAAACTATAATGCATTTACATATATAAATATAATGTATTGATTTATTGTATTTTATTAATAGTATAATAAATTAATATTTATTGTATTAAGAATGAGATAGATGTGGCTAGGATGTTACTTATCTTGAGTTCATTACATCCCCATACATTAAAGTCATTCTACTGTTGCCCTTTACAAACTTTTAAAAATGAGCACATTTTAAATGTTTCTATTTGAAAAAAAATAATATAATTGTTGAGCTGGCCTCCATAAATATGTATTTTTGATATATTAAAAAATTCAGTTAATGTTAAGGTCTTTAAAAAAATCTACATATAAAAGTAATAACCCATTTATTGTATAATGTACTCAGAAATGAAAACATTTAGGACACATATACATTACATAAAATTTCTTCACTGTAAATCTTATCAAGTTAATCCAGCAAAATGAGTTGAAAAGGACCACATCACCAAGAAATAATCAGTGTAGTTATGTGTTTTAGATCCAAAGTTTTCTTTGATCTTATTATTTCTAAAATTCCAAGCATTTGTGAAATATCTAGGATAAAATTTCTAAGAAGGACATGAAACAAATATTTTCCTTGCTTTACTTAATTATATTTGATAATTGCTGAAGTTCATTCCACATTTCAAATAATCTCTTTTATGACATTTTTGGTAAACTGCTATCAGAAGCAAAGAGAAAGAATGAAATTTTTATATATCTTGGCCAATAGTTGAAGAAAAATCTCTCTGAGGATGAAAAAAAGAGAAGAAATGAGATGCTACAAGTGTTAGAGTGTCAAATCGGCCCCAACACAAATTACAGATCTTACCCCATTGCCTGATTTACTAATAGTCGAAGGATACAGGCAATAGCAAAACACATGCTCAGCATTCTTCCCTTTGAGAGGTCTGAGACTTAGTGCAGTTCCCTGAAAGTTCTTTTATTCCACATTAGCACATGTTCTGGTTTGGATTTAGCATGCAGGGTACTAACCAATGCTTGCATAACATTGCTTGCGCAGAGGAAACCATTTTGGTTGTGGAACCTCTCCAAATCATACCTCATTAATTATACAGCTTATATGGCAATCTCCATAGATCCATGACCCCATAATTCCATCAATTCCATCAATTTTTTTTTTTTTTTTAATAATAAGCCACCCAGACAGACCAGGCACATCCTGCTTACAGTGCCAATCTAAGATTGGCAAAACATCAAATTGTCAAATTATATTTATGCAAATTATAGATTTTACCCAGTACCAAATTTACTAGTGCTTGAAAGGACACAGGTGTTAACAAAACACAGATCAAGCACTTTTCTTTTGAAGCAGTCCAAGTTTGCCAACACAGCTTCCTAAATTCTTTTCTCTCCCCAATTAGGATGGATTCTTTTTCAGATTTAACATGTAAAGTTTTGAGCAATACATGCAGAGAAATTTTGGCTTGAAATACCTCCAAAATTGCCCATTAATTACATGGCTTATATAACATTCTCTACTCTAACCCTCCATAGATCTATTAATTCCAGATTTATTTACAATAAGCAACCTAGATAGACCAAGTACATCCTGGTAAAAGCATTCCCTAGATGAAGACTCTCCATCGTCTTTCTCCTAGTGAATAACAGTGTGTTTAGAATCAGGTCCCTCACTGTCATGTTTACAAGGAGACTTGACTGGATCATCACTTTCTCTGTAAGGTATCATCAGGGAAGAGAAATTATAGGCTAATGACCTGCTGCTAACTTTCTCCTCCACAAGGAAATACTGGAAAAAACACATTATCTTTGAATGATTTTATAGGTATTCAGTTTTTAAATATAGATGTACCAAAAATAATAAAGAGTACCAAAGTAAGCATTATGATATTTATACCTAATTTGAGATCTTCTGCACTTTAATCAGTTAATCTGCAAAGCTCTTTTAGAAAATTTGAGGAATATGATTATAGAAATAGAACAAGGTATTTGATTCTTATTAATTTGATAAATAGGACAGTTGTGTTTCGTCTTCTGTTAACCCAGTATGCACGATAAGTGACTACTGTATACCTGTAACAGAGATTGTCGACATAATCTATCTTTTCCTTGGGAAGTAAAATGGTTCTGTCACTGAACTTGACCCAATACTCAGATTGGCAAGTCTATTATGGAAATGATGGCTAGGTTCTGGCAAGTTTTGCCCCAGTAATTGATGAACAATTTCTTCATTTTTCTTTAAAAATTCTGTCTTTGCAGTGCAGCTAGTCCTGATTCTAGGAATAACCCAGCAATGATGACCCTCACTAAAAGCAGATCCTTCACTTCGTCCTATGCTGTTTCTGCAGCTAACCATGTAAAGGCTAAAAAGCAAAATCGACCAGGTGAGTAACTTACTGGGAATAGAGTTCATGCTCTGAGTGTGCAGTCACAGAATAAACCAAACTTTGAGTGTTGAAATATTCTAAGGGTGCCCTACATTCACATGTCTTTGGTTTGACTGTTCTAATAACCAATTAGTTATTTTTTCAAAAAAAGCCACAATAACCAGTTTTATATTTAAATTTCCACTTTATACAATGATACAGATTCTTTCAGTGTTACTGTACCAGATTTCCTATCTAGAATTTATTGGATGAATAGGAAATCACTGCTACCATTAAGGATAATCTCTGGAAGAATCATTTTATAATAGAAATTTCAGTTTTTAGTGTCTGTTAAACAAAAATTATTTTTCCAGAGTAGGATATTTACACGAGTTCAAAGAAATTCTTCATTTACTATATATGAGCTATGACAAAGAATTTGCATACTGAAATTAAGAATAATAAAGTTTTAGGTTGGAAAGCAAAATGATTTGTGGGAAGATTATCTCATTTGATCTGTGCTGTCTCAAAATCGTGGTACAGTTTTTGTCAGATTCTGTCTCCTAATTGCCCTTCTCCTAGAAGCTCAGTTGCGAAGCTGGGGTGTTTACTTTGACCTCTCCTCCTTGGAAGGTTCTAACTCCAAGTTTTCACTTCTCAGTAGTATAGAAACTTTAATGAGATTGTCAATAACTTACTGCTTAGTTTCTGAATCTTCTAAGTCTTTAGCAACCTAAGAATTCACCAAATGGCTCAAGGAGAAAACTGCCCGTTTCTCACTGAGATACTAGACATTCAAGCTCTGGCTGCCATGGCATTCTCGAACTCCAATTTTTATGTCATCAGCTCCATGATATTGCTAAAAGCCCTGCTGGCTTTGCCTCCCTAATGGCCGCACCCCGCTGCCTGGATCCTTGCCTCTTGCTCCATGCCAGTAGTCCGTAAATAATGTTGAAGGGAAGAACCATTTGCAGGATTTTGGCTCACCTTTCTGAGGTTCTCTTCTCTCTGGGAACCTAGTTCCTCAAAATGGGGTGCTTTTCCTTGATAGCTCTTTTGTATGATTTTATGGGAATTATATCACTGAAAGAAACCATTAAAGGTACTCTCATTTTCCAACAACTAATCTGGTCCTGTCTGCTCTTTAGAAATGTTCTTTAAGTTTTATAACTTAGAAGTCATTAATGACCTAAGAAATAAAACTGAGCTTTCATCAGGGCCAGGCAAAGTAGAATAATGTAGGCAAATACTGCCTACAGCTAACCATGTAAAGGCTAAAAAGCAAAATCAACCTAGATAAGTAACTTGCTAGGAGGAGAGTTCATATTCTGAGTGTGCAGTCACAGTAAATCACACCTTAAGTGTTGAAGTATTCTGAAGGCGTACTATACTCAGATGTCTTTGGGTGACTGTGCTAAAAACCAATTAGTTATTTTTCTCAAAAAAAGTCTTCTAATTTTATAACTTAGAAGTCATTAGAAGGCATTAATGACTTGAGAAATAAAATTGAGCTTGCACCAGGACCAAGCAATATAGGAAAACGTAGGCAGCTAAGCATGTAAAGGCCAAAAAGCAAAATCGACTAGATAAGTAACTTACTGGAAGCAGAGATCACCCGGAGGTTAAATACAGATTAGCTCAGTAATAAGGAGAATCATTTGGGACTCCAGCAAAGTATAGGAACTGAATTTGAGAATTCTACATTAAACCTGGGACTCTTAAAGGGACACTAAAGTAGTCCTAAGTGTGTAGGACCCTTTGGCTCCCTAGAAAAATATGTGCAGATAATTTTTGAATGAAAGCATCACCAGGTAAGAGCTACGAGATGTTTTTAACAGATCAAGTTCAAACATGGCACTTACAACCATGATCACTAAAACACACAAGGACACACCATAAGTTTGAGTTAACAGAAACAACAAGACAATTCCTAGATCTCTAAAACGGTTGAGATGTTTCAATGCTAAAATAGTTAAATCTGTCATTTAATTTAAAAATGTCCATATTTAAAGAAAAACATGAGATTATAAAAAAATAATTGCAGTGAGAAAAGACATAAATATGGATCAGCTAAATAAAACTTTTAGACATGTAATCAAGGAAACAGGTTAAATAGCACAATAGACAACAGAAGGGAGAATTAATGGACTGGATGAAGGAAGATGTGGAAATCACACAGAATGCAGCACTGATGAGGTACCGGAAAATATAAGAGATTTTAACAGGTATAAGAGAAGGAATTAGAAAGTCTAATATATATAATCATAGTTTTAGTAGCAGATGAAGAACATAAAATATTTGAAGAGAAGCAAAATATTAATAAATGGAAAGAAATTCACACATAGACACAAAATGATGAAACTACACAACACCAACAACAAAACAAACAAACAAAAATCTTAAATCTACCAGAAAAAAAGACAAATTACATTTTCAGGAAAGGTAGTCAGGGTGAGAGCAGAATTGTCAAAACTACAGAGTCAGGACATAGTAGAAAATTTTCTTCAAAGTTCTGACAGTATATAATAATCAACCTAAAATTGTGTGCCTGACAAATCTATCTCGTAAGAATAGGAATGAACAAAAGGCATTTTGAGAGAAGTCAAAACTTTACCACCTACCAGTTCTTCACTAAAGGAATTTGTGATGAACGTATTCTAGAAAGAAGAAAAATAATGTCAGAGAAAAGTCTGAAATCTAATAAAAATGTTAAATAAAATTGAAAACCACAAGTCAATCCAAACAAACGTTATACACATAAATAGTAGTATTTCCGGATTCATGGATAGTTTTTAAAAGATTTTTTAAAGACAGAATTTAAATATCAAACAATAATATGTAACTCAAGGGATGAAATACAAATTTAAGTGTTCTGTGTCCTTGTGCAGCTCAGAAAGGGGGTTCAAATGAGGAAACTGAGGCACAGAAATGTTAAGTGCTCCAAGGCCACAGAATTAATCCTCAATTCTTTCTTTTGTCCCAATGACTTCATAGCAGAAAAAAATTGAAGATGACAAATTGACATAATTAAAAGTTAGGGTTTTTTTGGTTTGGCCTTTGGCTGAATACAAGATAATGAAAGGGTTTGGTTTTCTCTCTTGTCAGTTTCTTCAGTTAGATAATAAAAATTGTTAAATAACCAACATGATAAAGTCAAGAAGCTGGAAATCATAGTTAGGGCAGACACTGGCAATAACAGGGCAAATGGTAAAAGAGCTTTATATTCCTGTGTCCTGTTCCCCTATTTATATGACTGCACTCAAGAAGAAAGGGCAAAATGTGAAAGGAAAAGCATGTCCACATAAGATGCCACAAGTGCAGATGGTAGAAATTAGAGTCACAGGCATCGCAAGAGCCCCCTCCCATTCTTGCCATCAAGTGCGTAAGATATTTCTATCGTGATTACTTTGAAGGGGATTTTGCACTGTGGCACCTTTAGACTGTCGTCAGAGTGGAGCTAAATATTTATATTATAAAATAACCTATATCCTATGCATGTTGAACCCAACTAAATCAATCCCTGAAAATCTGCCAAAAGGGAGAAAAGCATCCATCAAGAATCAGGGAGCTAAAATGAGATTACAACTCTCTGTGATCAAACGTGCCCTTCTGTTGTGAAGCCCTTGCTCCCCTGCGCTGATGGATGCTTGGGTGGATGGAGCTAAGTAGGGGTGCCCTGTTTCATGCGACGGACTGTGATGCCACCTGGTTTTCAATAAGCTGCGTGGAGAGAGGCTGGGACAAACTCCTTTACGTGGTAAAGAGTATAAGAAAATATTCTCGAAGTGTGAAGAGAGTCTGAGGAGGAATGGAAGAACAACAGGCAAATATAAAGAAACGAATAGACAAATCAAACGATAAATAACTTGTTTCCAGAGGGGACTAATGAAATCTGTCCTGTGCACAAATCAAGCAAACAGTGTGTCCTCTAGCTCAATCAATCAGCGTTAATTTTAAATAGCTGAAGCACAGCCAATTATTTATGCAGTTACTAATATAAAATCAATGAATGATATCAGATAGGAGTCTTTTGATTAAAGCATGAAACAGGAGATTTAAATATAAATTCGCATTTTCAATCTTGCTCTTCTATTGTGAGTCATTGATTATGTGGAGCTATCATGATGTCAGACTGCTTTAAAAATTCCTCTAATTCACAGTTATTGCATTTGCAGTAGTTCTTTCCCAGATTCTTGTAAGTTTGAGCTGCCTATTACAGTGATAACAGATATCTCCACACCTGTCAACTAGACTGAGTTCTTTCTATTTAAAATTCGAAAGGACAGAGAACTTTAATTATGGTATTGTGACCCTTTTTTTTTTTTTTGCATTTTCTTTACTTTAAATACATTTTCTGTTTTGAAAAAATATTAGGGTTGACCATTTTCATGTGGGCATGGAAAAGAGGCATGTATTTATCAGACAAGCTGGTTCCTTTTTTGTTTGCTTAAAATTAAACTAAGAGAGTTTTATAGCACAAAACAGATGGATTCACTTAAATAATTCCCCTCCAATATTGTTTATCTTCTCCCTTTGATTACCCAAAAATTCCTTGTGTCTTGACACATTTTCTCATGCTCTCAGGAGCAAAGAATAAGGCTGAATTACTCAAAGGAGCTGGCATTTTAGACTTTATTTTTAAAGTTATATTTTTAAATTTTTTGAAGTATTTTGATTTTAAGCATTTCACATTAGGACAGTTTGAATAATTCAAAGATTTATAATTCATGAGCTATGTCTTTTTCCTGGAGTCTCTTAAAATCATTCAAATATAAAAGGAAGATAAGTATGTTTGAGAGAATGCATATTTATCTGAATTCCTTCATTTGCATGCGTGTGTGTGAGTGTGCAACATAAAATTAGATGAGACTTGCAGAGGTCGTAACAGTCATCGCTACAACTTTAGACATGATTACACTTAAAGTGTCTTAGAATATCTGTTGTAAAAGACTTGTATGGAAGGTTATCCCTACTATTTTCTTGGAGAATCCTCTTCCTGAGTCTGAAATCATTTATTTGTAGTCTATCCTTTATAGAAAGAAAATTTGATTATTATCTGCATTTATCTCCCCATGTATTTGAAGACTAATAGATGTAAATACGTATCTACTTCCTATAGCACTCCTAATTCTGTTTTTTAAACTTTAAGCAAACTACAACAATGCACACTGGGAAAAATAGTAGTTTGGCTCTGGGAAAAAGGAATTTATACGTTTATACCTTTATCTTCTCACCTACAGAATAAAAATATCCGTGCTTCTCATAGTTGTTGCCAAGACTTTTGTTTGTTAGAAGTGTTCAAAATATGTTGACTAGTAGTACTATAGAAGCAAAGTTTTTCTCCTGTGTTACAAGTTTATTTCAAATTTCATCCCAGGCAGTAAGTTTGAAGTCTTAAAGTCTACTTATTTGTTTAAAGTTAGTTAATCCATAACTCCAAGAATTCTAATAATTGTGTAGATTTTAAAATTTATATTTGAGAGTGAATTGCATGTCTCCAAGGCTATCAGTTGGCAGCTATTAAAAATTAGCAATGAAAAAAATCACTCTTCTCATAAATTGCCTTCAGAAAATCCATTGTGTCAAGACAAAAATGGACAATGTTCCCATGGGCTGTGAACTGCAGTTCTCTTTAAAAAAAAAAAAAAAAGGTGGTAGAAAACTGTTCAATACTCACAATTTGCTATCATTATCGTTAAAGAATTGTCTAAAGCACTGCCTAGCAGCAATATCTTTTTTTTTTAAGACACCGAAATTAAAACCTAGCCCTGGACCTATCCAGCCCTATCCAGCCTTACCCAGCCTTACCCAGCAACCTCTCTGACCCATTCACTGACCCCATTCTCTGCCCCCTTTTTCCCCTTTGCTAAGCTGCCAGCCACTGACCTCCTACTGATCCTCTGACATCCCCAGGTATGTCCCTCTTGCTGGAACACGCTTTCCTCAGATACTTGCCTAAATGTCTTCCTTGTTTCATCAGGGCTCTGTTCAAAATTTACCCTCCCCCACACCCCACCTCAGAGGCCTTCCCAGACCATCTTATCTAAACAGCATTTCTGTCCTTCTCTGTCCTCTACACTGCATTATTTTTCTTCACATCACTTGAAATTACTTGACTTTCTCGACTTTTCTTTCTTCTGTTTTATTCATTATTAATTTTTAGTTCCCGTCTCCCCTAAAAGAGTGGGAGCTCCATGAGAGCAGGGATTTTATTTGACACACCACTCCAACCCTGGAAAAGGACACACAATAAATATTTGTCAAGTGACTAAATCACTGAGATACTTAGTGCAAATACCTTGGTCACCTTTATGCCACATCATGCCAGGATTCAGTTCCTTAATGGTTACACCCTCTGTCTAAGATTATCTGGAGTCTTCGCCTTAATCCAAAAAATTGTGTTACTAGAGCAGCCCTTTCCAACCTTGTTTACATCAGAGTATCTATATATGTGTAATAATGTTTGTGTGTACTGTAATATTATATAGCATTAGAGAAATGGGAAGGAATTTAGAGATTGGTGAAACTTAGATTTTCTTTATTTTATACAATTATAATGAGAAGATCTAATTATAAAACATTAGAGATAAAGTTAAACATTGAGTTTATTCTAGAGCTTCCAAATAATATATTTCTTTTCTTTTTTTTTTTAATTTACAATCATTTAATATCATACTTCACAGCACACATGTAACCCACTCACTACACACAATGATACATTGGCTGGGGAAGTGAGTTAAAAATTCACTGAACTTAATTTATTTTTGGCTCAGGAGACTGTAATGTGAGCATTTGTCAGTATCTTTGGTAAAATAGTTAAATCTTTTAAACAGAAATGGAAATAAAACTAAAAACCATAAGGCATGACGTAAAGAGCGATACAAATGCTGCCTCATAGATCATAGATGATGGATTTTTCTTCCCCCTTGAGCAGTCTCTGATAGAAGTACTGGCTGATAGAGCACCTTTTACTAAGAACAGCTGGGCTCACTCTCTATTCTCCCACTTGCTCTTAGTGTGACACTGGGAAGGTATTTTAACCCCTCTGGGTCTAAGTGGTTTCATTTGCTAAGTTTAAAAGCAGGGACAAGCTGTCAATCAAGAGTCAGCAATGGAAATGTTGAGAAAGGACTAGGAAGGCTTGCTGTTCTCCATGCTTAAGGAAAGGAAGAGTGAGATTTCCCATCTTTTAAAACAAAACAAATACCAGTGCCAACAAGAAATTTAAAAAGAAAATTATAAAAACCCTTCAACAAGCTTAATGTTCTTTTCAGTGGGCCAGAAAACCTTTGGGTGTGACAAATCAAACTTTTGAGGGAACTAGTCTCTGGAAGCAAACTTTGCTGTCAGCCAGATGCTAGTTAACCACACACATCATTTGATGATGTGAAAGACCGTAGCTGTAAATTTCCTTTCAGTGGTGAGAAATAGAGAATGACTTTTAATGATTTCATGTCATTTACCCTACAGTAGGTCGTTCAGCCATAAAATCATGAAAACCAGTAATCAGGTAGCTGTTCAAAAGTTATTTCTCTCTTTTTTTTCAATTTTAAGTGCAGGCTGCCTTCTCTATGTTCGGGAGAGAGTAACTTCAAAAGATATCGTCCTTGTCCTCCAACAGCCGCACTTTGAAATCTAAGCCAGCATCCTGTAAAATTCTCACAATCTAGAGTAAACACAGACAGTTTGGCACAAATACCCACACTTGAAATGTAACCTTTAGGCCTATTGTTTGATCTGAAATAGATCATATTTCCTTTTAAAATGTTTTCTTCAAAAATTATTTTGATCAAAGTACTGTTTCACACAAAAAGGTCCTGTTTCACTGAAAATGTGAATGGTTAAGAAGGTTAATTGCCTCTCAAAAATGTATCTTCCTTATTTACATACTTTAAGCATCTGATGCCTGCCGAACTCTGATCCAGATACCAGTTAATGCTTAAAACAATAACAGATCTTGTTCCTGCTACAAACTTCACAACCTAAGAGAAGGCAAATACATGAGAAAATTTCAACTATTATTTTTGTGTCAGAATGACAAGAAGAAACAAAAATGGGAAGAGAAAATAATATCCTTCTGTCCTGAAGTTACTCCAGGACACCAGGGCTTTAGCTGGATGTACCAACATTGCCACCGATTTTTTCGTGATGATTCATCACTCCCATTTCATGCTGTGGAGACACCCCAACCACACACCCTGTCTCCAGATGGTGGCATGCACAAGAGGCCAGCCCAGTGGCCTGAGTGTGCACATGGTTGTTGATGAAGCTCAAAAGTTGCAATTTCGTGTTTCAAAGACATTTTTTTATTGAATTAATTATTCTTCTTTCTCAGGTGCCCTAGCTAAAATTTCACCTATTTCATCACCCTGCTCCTCACCTCTCCAAGCAACTCCTGCCAGCAGCCCGGTCAGCAAAATTTCTGCAGTGCAGTTTCCAGAATCTTCTAACACAACTGCAAAACAAGGCCTAACTTCTTACAGGACCTTAACTTACACTCAGAGTGCTCCTGACTTATCCCCTCAGATCCTGACTCCACCTGTTATATGTAGCAGGTAAGGATTTTATGTTGTTAACTGGCATTCAATAATAAACTACTAATAGTTTTCCCCATGGAAAAACCTACCACCAGCCCACACAGCTTAGGGTAGGTTGGCCAAAGTAGTTGACACGAAAGTATGGGCTAATACGATTTGTATTGAATAGGCTATAATAGAAACTTAATTTTTTAGTGATTTTTGTATTAATGGAAAGTTCAGAGTCCATACAGTCCATGCACCTAATCTTTGCAGAGGGTACAAAATAATTAGTTATATATGTTGTCTGCTTACTGATGGAGAATGCAGAAGATAGATAATTAAAAATTTATATCAAATAATCTAATTCAAAATTTTGTTGGAATGTGTTTTTACTTGTTCTCCACGGAGTATTTTATACTGATTTTAAAGATGTTTAATCCTAAATTTGCATTTCTTATTTTAATACTTTGAAAGTGTGCGAATAATACATGGGCCACAATGGCTGAACTCAAATAGTTCTCTGAATGCAATCAAACAGTTGCATGTGCTTTTCTATCATGTTGAAACAGAATTATGAAGTGTTATCTATCACAGAAAATAAGAAAAAAGGGCCTAGCATGGCTGAAGTAATTATTTTGCCAACATTGTCACTAAGAAAGAATTGCCTCTTTTTACTGATTAATGTGTTTTTACTGTTCTTCGGTAATAGTTAATCCTAAATAATTGCTCTTAAAACATTACCATATTCTTTAAGTAGAAAAGAGTTGAGTGTTTTTAAGTATAATCATGAGAGTACATTGAAAAAAATAGTATTTCTTTTCTAAGGTGAATGAGGTTAACTATTTGAATAAATTAGTAACATGTTGGTTTTCTGGTATCAAATATTGGTTCCTAGACCCATATTTTATCAATATGTTCAGTTTTAGGAACTGGCAACTGCTGTTAAACCTCCTAATTTTCACTTTCATATTCCTTACACATAAGTCATGTAAGCTAAGTGAATTTTATTTGTAATCTTTATTTTTACTTCTTTTCTCTTTATAAATATTTTTAAATGAAAAATTATCCTTGTTTGGACGGGGCCAGAGTAAAAAGTTATTCTACCATCCAAAAGTTACTCTGCTGTCCTCTCCCATGACAGCTATTTAAAAAAAAATAATTTCTATAGGATATTAATCACATCTTTTTTCTCCACCAAAAAAGTATATTCTGTAGTACCATGTCTAGGAGACATAACTAACGTATTTCCCTCTAGAGATTCACAATACACATCACTTTATTAAAAACTCTGATAAGTTCTGCTAAAAGACCACCCTTTGATTTTTTTTGTTTCATCTAGTGTTTTCTGAATTTATTTGACCACAGAACCAGTTTCTTTTGGTTAACACCCAATAATTGCCCATGGATCTAGTGTTTGGCAGAACACACTTAAGAAGCATTGTTTTGTTGTGTGTACCCCGAGCCAGGGTGAAGCCCAGGGGAGTAATCTGCGTGAAGGACATCTGCTTTCAGCCCTTTTAGGGAGACTCTCCCACTGTGCATTCCAGACGTGTGGGAAATAAGTTGCCTAAAGAAAGGAAGAGGGATGTTCAGAAAAGATGTACCACTCACATAGCTTTTCTTTTAATAGTCTATTTTTTGTATTCTCAGCAGGAAGAATGTAATGGGGATTTTTATGAAAGAGGTTTCAGAGAAAAACAAGGGGATTTCACTGTCTACTTGTTCAGTAATGTTTATAAATCCAGTAGTGTGTGTGTTTTATTTGTTTGGGCTTTATAAACCTATAATTCAAACCAGGTTTTATTATTGCCTTCAAGACAGCCACCCATGTAGGCACAGAGAGCTCCAGAAACACACGACTAATTATTGTGGTTTCCCCTGCTGAACTCGAAGGGGTTGGCGTTGAATCCTAGTCTCTTGGCTGCTGTAATGTCTATGCAACAAGCTATTTTTTTGGCATAGGAGCTGGTATATTTGAACTACTAATTTAAATAGTCCTTTTAGGTATTATCTTGCAATGAAAAATCTTAAAACTAATAAACTTCTACTGAGTTTCATCTGAGAATATAAGTCCATTAATTGCATCTACTTTTCTTTTTCCTTTAGTATTGTCATTTTCCTTTGATTCCTTACAGTAAAATGATAGGTTTCGTAATTAAGAATATTTTGTGTATAATGATTTCCTACTTACATTCAAAGCTTGAAAATAAAGTCACTTAGTTTGAAAATACTCTCTAGCTGGAAAATGCTTTTCTCTACTGCATATACAAGCATAATTCAGAAAAAAAAAAGTGATGAGACTTTTAAGATATTAAAGAATAAATTATCACTCAATTTTTTTTTTTCATTTTAGAGTGAGTAATCTGTGGTTAAATAGCAAACAAAAAAATCCTCTGAGTCCTTTTGTAATGTTAGTCGGAAGGAAAGAACCCAGCAGCGGAGTGCAGAATTAAAATCTAATCATGAAATCTCTGAACAAGATAAAGAGGGAGGAGCCAGTTCGGAACTTTGCCAAGCCTGTTGTGCGGTTGCTTTTTAATTCATTAAACAGTCAAACTGTTGAGGAAAAAAGTATCCCTCATCCTCCAGCACCCTCTGTTAGGGGGCGTTGTTCACCTCTCAAGTGCCTTGGTTTTTCCTGGTTCCCACGGTACCTCCTTTGGCCTGTTTTTCTCAACCGATGTCCTATGTCCTACATAGTACATAGTACATAGTACATAGTACATTCACTCTTTGTCAAAATGTGCCTCTGCTCGCTTCATTTCCTAGGGCCTTAGCAGGTAACTGATCCATCTGAAAAAAAGAATTCATTTTTATTATGTGGCAAAAATAAAATTAGCATACTATCATTCTATTTTTTAACTGTGCTGTCTTTTCTTAAAGGTCTGTTTGGACATAAGATGTCTTAAGCCAAAGAAATAAATCTAATAATGAGGCTTTTAAGCAGGCACAAAGGGATTCCAGGGAGGGAGAGATTTTTGACCAAATACATTTTGACACCTCCAAAATCACTGCTATACATAGGTAGCAGCCTGTCACAGTGTTCTCTCAACAGTGTGACAAAATTTTCCCACCACTTTCCCCTCAAATGTGGGGGAACATAGAAGGCAAGTGAAATTTCTAATCCTCTGTATTGCTCACGCTCTCACAATAAAGAAAGAATGGTACCCAGGTCTCAAACAAAATGAATTTTTGCATGAAACAAGTAAGTAGAAGGTAGAAATATTTGATTGTTGTGTCTGCCGTAATGTACATATAGATGGTATGTACCTATGATTTTTTGAAAATGGAAGGATATACTTATAGCTGCTCTGGTATTTCTCAGCTGTGGCAGACCGTATTCCCAAGGGAATTCTGACGGGCTCCTGGAGAGAAGTGGGGCAGTTGCTCGGACACCAAGCAGAACAGGTAATTCATTATTTTAGATTCTGTTCCTCAAAATGGAAATACATATTTTTTTTTCTTTCCTGAACAAATAGGTAACCTGCATTTCTGATTATTTTAAATCACAAATTTAAAAAGACAAGGAAGAAAATCAAAATCATCTATAATCCTACTATCTAGAGTTTTGATCGTGCATAAAGTTTTTGTGCAAAGCTATCCAAAATGTTTCTATGCCTCATCATACAAATGAATGTTTTTAAAACATGAGAGGCCATTTTATAGAATATATGGAACTATACAGAAATGCTATTTTATCTTGCTACTTCCACCATTATACATAGAATTAAGCAACTGCTTGTATATTAGAATTAGATATAGTATGAAAATGTAACTGACAAGTTTCAATCCCAAAATCTTTAATAAAAATGAAGAAGCCACACTCAAAGGCCATAGCTCTCCGTGATACCACAAAGGTGAAATATTCCCCTGATTGTACCAGCCCTAGTTGAGTTAGAGAAGATGAGGGACACAGAGAAGGGAATATTCTGTGCCTCATAGGATGGTTGAGAGGATTAAATGAGCTAATAGAAATAAATTGCTTTAAGTGGTCCCCAACACCTAGCAAACATTCAGTAAACTTCATTCAGGTGGCTTATTCAGCTGTGAGAAGCTTCTCGAAGTCTTTGTCTCAGGAACGTGTTCTTTAGACATTTGGTATTTTCTGATTGGACTTTTGATTAGCACAGTTTATTGCAGACCAAAAATGGGGACAGTGAAGGGGGACAGATAAGAAAGGAAGCAACAGACCCCCAAGGAACAGGGTGGATACATAGGTTCTCCCTTGCTTTTAAACACATGCCCTCCCTCCATGTTCCACAGCCCACTTTATTCCTGGGTGTGTCGACTCAATTTCTCCCACCCCATGTGCCCATTCTAGAGCTAGTGTTTTAGTCAGCTACTTGTGGTTTAATGTATTGGGAGAGGAATAGAGAAAAAAAAAAATACATAGTTATAAGATCTAAAAATTATTATTGAGGGATTATTGAACATCATACAAATTACAGATCATAATTCCCATCTATTTCATTGGGTTGGAAAATGTGTGCTTTTCTGTACCCTTTCATGCCATATTCTTGGTGTGTAAGCTCATGAAAGCAGTATTTCCCTAAACACTATATTTACCATGTGCATTTTAGGAAAATGTGCTTCATTGAGCCCCTTTTCCCCTCTGCAAAGCTCATAATAAGCTGTTCTCTTTCAATTGCAGATGACACTGCTCAAGTTACCTCTGATTATGAAACCAATAACAACAGTGACAGCAGTGATATTGTACAGAATGAGGATGAGGCCGAGTGTGTAAGGGAGCCGCTGAGGAAAGCGTCAGCTTGCAGCACTTACGCTCCCGAGACCATGATGTTCCTGGTAGGCCCACGTCACTTGACTCCTTCATTTACTTGAGAAATCGTCTTTTAGTGCAGAAATCGGCTTAGAAATCGATCCCCGAATCATTACAGATCTGTCTCATTTAGATCATGCATAGGCAGTAGCCACACCCATATGTACCAATATAGTTTTTCTCTATCTAAACCTTAATGGTTTCTTCGTGGTTCTATTGTTTGGTGATTAAAAGCATAAGTGTTTTTTTCTTTACAAATGATTACAGATATTTATTAACTCAATTAAAAAGTGTAAATATGCATAGAAAATGAATAATTTCATTCAATAGTAAAATAATATTTTGTAAAGGAAAGAACAGAGAGATGAAAGGAAGGAAGGAATGGAAGAAGGGAGAGTGGGAGGGAGTAGGTGGAGAAAGATAGTTGTCTTAGGGCATTTGCTGGTTTTTCTCGAGTACCTCTTTGACTTAGAAAGTGAGCCAATATTTATTTTCCTTGTTATATTAAACCAGTTTTATAGTGATACTTGCTACCTATTAAAATATCCTTTATAAAAAAAATTTTTATAAATTTAGTGGATTCAAGTGCAATAGTGTTGTATGGATATAGTACATAGAGCCCCTTTCTCTCACTATTAAAATATCCTTTAATGACTTATTTTGTGCGTTTAATGAGATCTGTTTAAGGAGGATTGAAGTGTACATTCTGAGTCAGGTTAATTTGAGGGAGGCAGCAAATAGTAGAACATGTTGACTGAGATTATCAATTTCTGTTTTATCATTTTTTACTGTATTTGTCATTTGTACTTTTAAATCAAATAGATTGTCAGGTAAAATAATTTATATTTTCTTATCCTCATTATCTTTATTTTCTATTTCTTTTAGAAATTTACTCTTAAGAATATCCTTATTTGGGACCAATTATAAAAAGTCTACATTTACATGGTGATTGTTTCTCAGAAAACAGTAGATCATGGGAATTAGATTAAAATCTCTGAAAAATGTGGCAGTTGTCATTCCATAAAATGAATGTTGCTTTTGAAGCATTAACATAAGTTTGATCAATTAGAGTAGGAGTGATTAAGTCCTCCTCTCCACTCGTGGATCTCTTTTAAGAGTTTCATTTGAGCAAGGAATCCCCATCTCAGAAAAATTTACATAACGATGTGGACAGATAAATTTACGTATAATTCCGGAGTTTTCTGAAGTCCTTGAATCTTTAAGAACCCTGCAGTAGACCCAAAGCAGTTATGTTAATTTGTGGAGGAAATATCTATGGTTTTGCCAGAGTGTATATGAACCAGAGATACACATGCATCTAACAATGCAAAATTCATAGTCTGAAACAGAAAGCCTTGGACATTTTCCTCCTTACTTTGGGGTCGATATCTCATTCATCTTGATTTCTTTTAAAGATCGCTCTTTGACTCTGGAGTTTTAAGTCATTTATTTATGGTAACCACAGTTATTAATTTAAATTTACCAAAGCACAAATTGCTTTGTAGCAAAACTATATGTTGTTAAAATATTTTAATCTTCATTACAGGACAAACCGATTCTTGCTCCTGAACCTCTTGTCATGGATAATCTGGACTCAATCATGAAGCAGCTAAATACTTGGAATTTTCCAATTTTTGATTTAGTAGAAAGTATAGGAAAAACATGTGGCCGTATTCTTAGTCAGGTAAGAAATTCATTCATACATATGACTGTAAATATACAAAAAACAATTCCTCAGTTGCTTAAAGCTTTGTACATTCTTGACACCTGTGGGTAGGTGTTGTGTGGAGAAAGGAAATTTTAGCACACAACACTCTGTAGATTCCTTGGTGGTAGGTTAACAAAAGAAACTGGAATTTTGAGCAAGTAGAATACCATATCAAAGAATTAAAATATTATATATTTTTTAAGACAAAGGAGGAATCAGGGATACATAAGCAAAATGAACAATAATCTAAAATTCATAGAATTAAGAAAACAAAAAGAGGTGGCACAAGCCACTTAAAAGAAGAAAAGTGCCTATTTATAAAAACTAATTTATTGTCTATAACTATTTCCAATGACTTTTAAGTTTTTAATATTAAAGTGCTTAGGCCTTACCAGAAACAAGATACTGTGCAGAAATACGCTTTCCCCCAGTGCTGTGAGAGACACATTGAATAGAGTTTTCTGTATTTGAAAATCGAAAACACATTTATTATCACAAGAAATACAGGATGAGAACTGTTGCGAGATAACAACAGCCTGCTAGTATTGTTATCTCTAGGCTAGACCACCTTCAAGGCTTCCCAAAGAAATGTTTGCTTTGCAGAGGAAGAAAGAAAACATACAGAAATTAAGGATTCGAACCTGCTTATTTCAAAAAACAAAACAAAATGATGGATTTGCTGTATTATCAAACACCTATCAAAATATATACTCTTAATTAAAAAGAATGATGCCATAATATTTATCAGCTTATTTTAAAATGTTTTAGGTGAGCTCTTACAGATCTGAATAAATATTACAGCAGAGATGTTAAAGACTACTGCACTTCTTAATTGCACTTAGGTGAAAATTCAGAATCCAACCCAGATTTATTGAGGCCACTAACACTTCTCCGCAAAGGCTAGAAGAGAAATCACTGAAATACCTATTTGTACTCTGTGCATCTTCAGACCACTCAGCCTGAGTGTGGAACTTTGGCATGAAGATCCCGATCTGGGAAGCTTTGAAGGGAGAAGATAGTGGGCCTTTCCTTTGGTGTTCAATTCTACAAACGCAGACAACTAGGTCTAGTTGGGAGGTACGCCAACATTATTGATGGACTATAAAGCACAAAATAAATACAGTCTATATAACATGCAATTGTTGCCTCTGCTAGACTCCGTCCATGAACATGTTGAGGAATAAAATGGCAGCCCTTGTACTTTACTAGGAGTTAAGAGCCCATTCTTTTCTTCTTCCTTTCTCCTCAGCGCTAAGCAAGGTCTCATTGCTGATCTTGAGGACAGGTTTAAGGACAGCCATTCTATCCAATCCACCTTACCCTCGTACCTTAGGGCTCCTCCTGGGAGGTTTTGTATCCCACTTTCTGAAATCCTTGGAAGACTATGACTTTGAGGGAGCGATCTTTCATGGAAATATGCTTGTAATGGTGCTGCAGGATGTTTCAATGGGCTAAGAAGTATTTTCTCTCTTTTACTGGATTATGGAGAAAAACATCTCATCTCGTTTTATATTTGATATATATTTCACAAAATCTCCAAAACTCTGTAACCTTCACAGTAACTTTGGTGCAGGCATTTTTTTCCTCTATTTTACGGAAGAAGAAACTAAGGCTTAAAAGAGGACATAGTGTCCTTCTAAAATCGTATAGTAAATAGACCCAGGCTTCAAATGTAGATTTATCCATCTCAGAAGCCCAGGCTTCTTACATTCATTCAGCTGCTTCTGAGGTCCCCATAAAGCACATTTGCTTATTATACCTTCAAGCTCTCCAAGTGGGGCATCTGACCAAGTAGAAAAGTGGTTATTACAGCAGTTAGTTTTACAGCGCAAGTGACAGTAGTGCTGTCGTTGCTGGTATCCAGCCCCACTTAATGTGAACTGGGGGTGGGAGGATGGAACTTGGTCAGCATTGACACAGAATGTGTTCTACAAGTCGTAGATACCAGTAGACATTGGAAAGATTGTGGATAATTAGCAATTAGATCACCATAAAATTCATTAATGTATTTTTTTGTTCTAGCCATCTTTCAAAAATAATACTGTATGATCTTTAGTAGTCACTCTTTACTTTCCCAATTTACCAAACATTGAACTTTGAGGAAATGCAGCAAACACCGCTTCATATGCCTGGCTGAGTAGAACTTTTAACATTTTTTCCCTTTGCTTTGAGTTTATAAGTGCAAAAATCATGAAATTTTGCTTATGGAAAAGGATTTTTTTTTTTTTTTTTTGGCTTAGCAAGACTTCAGGGCAGCTGAAGTGAATTAACATGGACATTCCAAGAAATCACCTTTTGGCTGAGACTAAACAGCAAAAATCTTACTTCAAAAGATTTTTAAAAGAGACATATGTACAGTGGAAATGACTTCTCAGTCTCAATACACAGCCTGCCTTTTAATGATTATCATGTTTATTTTAACAAATCTAAAAGGACATCCTTCAGATTTTGAAATAGTGTTTATTCTTTTCAGTAACCAATATTTACCTAGTTAATAGTGTCTTTATTTATGAGTTTGGAATGAACATGTGTAAAATTATTGAGGGTTGATTTTAACAGCTTCTTGAGGAAAATTCTTCTGTTTTAAAATCATACTCTAAAATACCCTGTTGTTTTAATTTTGCGATTCATCTTTGAAATGTTTTAAGAGAATCATAGACAACTTTAGTTATTTGCAATCCTAACAATATTGGTTTTTAAATAATGGTGGTAGAATTTGAAGCCGAGTGTAAAATCTGAAGCTAAAATGCTTGGTTGGAAATCTGATTCTCATATGTTTCATCTGTGTGATCTTGAACGAGTCACTCAACCTTTCTGTGCTTCTGTTTCATCAGCTTTCACACATTAGTAATCAACAGTACCTATCTCAGAAGGTGCTGTGAGGATTAATTATAATGTGTAAACTTTTTAATATATAAAGTTAAAATTAATTATATGTATACATGTAAACTACTTAGAATAGACACCTTACTTATTTAATACTATATGTGTGTGTGTGTATACACAGCAGCTACTGCAACTGTTATTATTATTATTAAAATAACATGCATAGTTAAATCCCTTAGGAGCATATAAACAGGAACTCAAATATAGTCCAAGGCAATAGTAGAGAGGAAATAGCTAAAAAATGAAACAGCTTGAAATATAATATGACAGGAACCACAAACTGTACTTTCTGTTGCATTTTTAAAAGAGAGGAGGTAGGGATGGAAAAAGGAAAAATGAATAAATAAACTTGTCCTTTAGAGTGAAGAAAGTACCTAGAAGTTGAGATGAATACATTATACAATTTATTTCTCAATGAGCAGCCAAGATGCTCCTTTTAAAAATAAGTCAAATAAAGTTATTTCTGTTCAACAGTCTCTTCAATAGCTCCTTACCTCACTCAGAGTAAAAGTCCTTATAAATAGTGGATCTGGCTCTCACACTCCAAGACTGTACCCCCGGCCCAACCCACCCAGCAGTTCAGTTCAGGACTAGAGCTGAAGTCTTACTCTAGTCCTCATGCGCTCTGTTTCAGTCACACTGGCCGTCTTGCTGTCTCCTGAGTACAGCAAGCATATTTCAGGGCCTTTTCACTGGTGCTCTCCTCTGCATGGAAAGCTCTTTTCTCAAATATACATGTGCCTCACTCCACACCTCCTTCAATTCTTTGCTCAAATGTCACCTACTGAATATGCCAACTCTAACCACCATATTTAAGATGACAGCTGCCATGCCTTCCCTGCCATCCCAGTCCTTCATCTCTATTCCATTTTTTCTTTTCCCCATGATTTATAACCTTCTGACATAGTATATAACTTACTTATTATATCTATTGGTTCCTGCCCTCCCCTGCTAAACCAAAAGCTCCATGAAAGTAGAGATCTGTGTTTTGTTCATATGCGTGCAGTGCATATATATATAGAGAGAGAGAAAGAGACAATGTATGCATAAAAAATTGGCACATAGTAAGCACTCAATAGATACATGTTGAATGAATGAATCCTTTTTTTAGATGTAAGTATGTAAGTATAGATATAGACATATAATGTATGTGACTGATAATCATTAGATATATAGCTTAAAGAATACTAGTGAATTTGAATAAATTTAAATATGATAACAAAAGATGGAAATTTAACTATAAAGCAATATATTGAAGATTTGAAAGAACTATTTCAAGAGAATTTTAAGAAGGAATGCAGGTAACAAAAAGGACAGATAATTCTTTCTTAAGGTCTCCTGAATGATAACCAGCACTGTGCCTTTGTGATGTGCAGTGAGGCCATTTTAAAAGGTTCTGTCCTTCATTCTGCCCCATGAATAACCATCTCTCTCCCCGTTACTTTCTTCTGTTTCCGTTATCATTTTTTTCTTCCTCCACCATTTGCATGTCAAATATGCTAATTATATTCAAAGGTATTTACTTGATGTGAGTCATCAGAGCCACGAAGGCAACTGGAAAAAAAAAATAGATATTCAGAGGAAGAAGAGGGAAGATAAATGAGGGAAAATAGTTTAGACATTGTTATTTATACTGGATTAGAATAAATCTTTTTTCTTTATATATCTTAGTCAAAGCAACCGTTTTCCTCTCTCCCATAATTCTTTCCCCTTTATCTTCACCAAAGCATAGCTCAGAATCCTTTATTCTCTGGAAAACTTTATTTTTTTAAATAAAATGAGTCCAAATTAAAGCTTTCTCCTATCCTTTATTTAGTGCTTATCATATGTACTATGCAATTAGCAATTTACTATGTATCATCCTCTAATTATGAATATCACACACAATGTAGTGCCTTGGTATACTACCATAGTGTTTGCTGGTTTCTCTGTTGATGTTTTCTTGGGTCTATGTCTAGTCTTTACCATTAAAAATAGATTCTATGCCCCTGTGGTCAGGAACTACAAAAGCTAAGCACACAGAAGGGTAGACACATATATAGCAACATGTACTTGATTAATTGTTTGCAGTAAGTATCTCTACTGGCAACAAATTAATGTGGTTGATGGAATGTATGCTATTTTTTCCTCTTTTTTTTTTTATATGTCTAATAGACAATTAGGGATGTTTTGTAAGGCTTTGTCTGTCTCTTTTACAGGTATCATACAGACTTTTTGAAGACATGGGCCTCTTCGAAGCTTTTAAAATTCCAGTTAGGGAATTTATGAATTATTTTCATGCTTTGGAGATTGGATATAGGGATATTCCTTGTAAGTATAAGTGATTTGTGAAATAATACTTTTAAAATTTGTCAAATTTGCTACGGGTAATGGGATAGTGAATCATTAGCAGCTAGCACAGAATTACACGTGGTGGACACTCAATATGGCCACATCATAGTGTGGTTAGGGGGGTATAGCCCAGGTTAGAAGCTGGCTCTCTCACTTATGAGCTGTGTCTGTCTTAACCTCCACATGCCTCATTTTTTAATCCATAAAATAGGGATCATAACATCTGTTTCATAGGATTGTTAGGATTAAACAAGGTAATAATTTTAAAGAGGGTTATAATAGTGATTTGCACATGGTAAGTCAAATTTAAATGTTTGATAAATGAACAATTAAATGTTAAATTTAAACTTATTGTCCATTTAATAATCAGCCACTTTTATTGGGTGAATTCAACTTTGTTATGGCATCTGAAGAGTTCAGTCGCTAAATATTGAAGTTTTCTCAATGTAATATAAACTTAGCTGATGTTTAGAGGGACAGGAGGATGATGGTCTCATTAATAAAATAGAAAAGAAGAGACATCTGGAAGTGGTTATGAAAAAATGATTAGAAACATTTTAAAAATTAGGTAAATGTGAAAAACCCAAGGAGAGGACATAGTGTTCAAGCTTTGAATATTGTGAGAATAAGTTTGCCATTTATAATAATGAGCAACTGGAACACATGAGGAGGTGTTAAATTTTCAGTATATAGCATTTCGGGTACCATCAGTCAGAACGTGTAAGAGTTATACTACAACGCTACAAAATACATGGATCTGAAAGAAATGTTCGTAGGTCCAACCAGAAAAGTGTGGAAAAGTACAGAAATCATGTGATACTTCAAGGAAATAAATACAGAGGAAGACAAATAGTCAAACATAATGTATTGGTTGGAGCATGTCTTAGAAATGTGTTATTTAAATCGTGTTTTACCTTTTATGTTTTAAATTTGCTTTTATGCACCTCAGACTTCAGAACTCCACATTCTTTTGCAGTTGCAAAGAGCTGAAGTTAAATAAAAAATATAAAGATGCAGATAAAACACAAGTATTTCCAGAAAGGGGTAGCACATTAACCTACTGATCCATTATTAACAAGTTGTTTTTTAAAGTGACGTTCACATGCTACACTGGAATGCATATGCACAGCTGATAGTATGTGATAGGAAAAGAATGAAAAATTGAACCTACAAATTGTGAGATAGAAAATGAGAATGAAGAATTGAATCTACAAATGAGATTTATTTTTTTAGAGAATATGGGACCAAAATGCAGGCAAAATAGGACAGTTGGAGTAGAGAAGAGGGAAGCTTAACAGTACCAGGCCCCCTGGGAAAGTCTGGCCGACAAAGCTATGGAAATTGGAAAAGAGATATGAAAAAGGAGTAATTTGAAAGGATCTCAAGATGAGCCTTGCTTGCTTAATACAGTTTTCCCATGGCCCACCATGGTTGGCTGCCAGTAATTGACATAAGTGTTAGTGATTTCTCAAAGGTTAAAGAGTTATATAAATAAACTTTTATAGAAAAGAGGCCACTAAAAACATGGAAGAACACCTAGTTAGCTACCAGACTGAATTCCAAATCAATGTTGTATTTTCAATTGTATTTTAGTGATATAATCAGCCATAGCAAAGTTCCATTCAGTTCAAATTGATACTAGACTGCAGAGATATAATAACCACTAACTTTTCTCTAGGTAGTATATCATTAAATAATAGTAAAAAAAATGACCAGTATTTAAGTACAAAATGAAGTTTCCAGATTCTGAAGTTTATTATTCACTTTTATATTTTCTTATTACATTTTTATATGTTATGAGTGAATAGATGTTTTTTCCTGTAATAGTGGGTTCTTCATTCCATGTGAAAAGAATTTGTTATAATAAACCTGCTTGTTCTATTTGAAGTCTCAGATACTTTCAATAAAGGGAATTTGTTTATATCTTCTTGTAGGAAAGCTCTAGCTTAATTGGTGATAACTTTTAAATAATAATATCTCATATGTGCTGGGGTTGTAAATTTAGATTAATATGGATATTAAAATCCTTGCTTATTAATTATAATTAGCATATATAAAAATTTGCTATCTACTTATTTTAACATTTACTTCTAGAGAACTGTATTTCTAATGGCTCTAAGTGAATCTGTAATAATTGAAAAAAACCTAAGAGGAACTAAAGTGAAAATGGGGTTGGATTAATTTTAATGTGGCAATGTGTGAAAATATTAGAAACTAAATTTTTATCATAGTTCTAAGTGTACCTTTCACAATTTTCAAGAGAAGAAGGAAAGTATAGAGGCTTTTAAACTTGTAATTAGAACCCTGACTAAAAGTTGAGGAATCTAGATTTAAACAGGGAGAGAGGGAGGGAGAAAGGAAAACGAGAGAGACAGAAGGGAGAAAGGAAGGAAGGTAGGAAGGAAAATGTCATGGAAGTAGCAGTGGATAGGCAATAAATATAAGCAACTCACAATAAATGTGATATTTTTATCACATTTATATATTCAGTGTGGCTTAGGATAAATTAAGCTATGGTTAATACCAAGTTGCACAGGGAGGTAAATAATGTTTGATACGATTTGTAGTCCCTTTCAATTGGGCATTTTGCCTAGTAAAGAAGATAAATCATCAGTTCACATTTAGCCATTGATCCAGTTATTTTTGAGGGTGCTTATTCTGGTTTCAAAGAGTTTCATCTCTCAAATATATTATTCCTGACACCTCTCATTCTTATTATTCGAGTTTGAGAAATGGGGAGTGCCTCAGCAGTACCTGTGATCATACAACTATTTAATGGCAGCAATGAGAATAGTCTTGCTCAATCTATGTTTAGTTCAATTCATTTAGGCTATATGTAATGGGCCCACCGATTTTGAAGCTAGATAAATGAGGTGAAATGGTACAAGCTAAAGGGGCAGAACTATTAGAATATTAGCTATAATCCAAAGGGTAAACATGCTTAAAGTGTCATGTCTATTCTTTACTGCTTCCCCTAGCCCTGTGATGCATGAGAGCATAGACAGAATTTTCAATCAAAACAAATTTATGTCAATCAAAATAAATTTTGATCTAAAAATCTATGAATTTTACATATAATTCTGACCCTTCATATCAGCTCACTTCAAATCTGTGCTTGAGTTATAAGGAGAAAGTTGAGAAAACAACTGTATCAAGATGGAAGTGGGAGACGGGTGGACTTTGGGAAAGAGGTAGGGTGCACCAGGTGGCAGTGTGTGCCTGTGTGTCTCTGTGTTGTCAGAGAGGGAGAGGGGGTTGCCATGTGGGTGAGGGAATTAAGGGTTTGTCCAGAATCCAGAGATGAAGAATGAGGGATGATAATAATAATAAGGATAAAGTAAGAATAGCTCCAATACCATTTCTTATCCTTCTCAGTTGCCTACTGTGGGCAGAACAAGAAGAAAAATCTTTGAGCATGTTTATGTATCAAATACAAACTTGTCGATACCCTCCATGGACAGGGCTGGCTTCTTTCCTGGGTGCCTTTGCCCCTGCGTTGGGTCATCAGAGAGTTAATGACAAGAGCAACAGAGACCAGCACTTGGCTTACTACTTGTACATAGTACATGCTAAAAGATTATTTGTCTAAGAAGCCTGTTATTGACTGCTGACAGGACAGATGGTTTTCCATTCTTCTTAAGTGATTGGTGACAGTACAATTCTAGACACACACACACACACACACACACACACACACACACACACACACAACTAGATGTATATATTTAAGCAGCTAGATTTTGTTAGCTCTTATTTTCTTCAGTACTTTTGCACCTCAACTTAAAAGCAAATGGAGCATTTTTTTTCATATACTGTCTTCACCTAGTTTTTTAATCAAAATTATACTAGCCTCATAGAATGAGTTTGGCATCTTATATTTTCAGCACTAAATTATTTAGGTAGAATTATTTGTTCATTGAAAGGTTCTAAAAATTACCTATGACACCTTCTAGTCCTGGACCTTGCAGTGGGAACAGGGCAGGAAGCAGTAGGACTCAAGAGCTGCAAGTTCACCTGGAGGAGGTGTTGTCTGTTCCTTACCCCAAACGGGCCCTGCCAACACCTTCATGCTGCCCCCATCACCCTTGTAATGTTGGGCTTGTGTACAGGTTTAATAATGGCAATTACTTGCATGTAGTAATCTTCCCAGCTTGCAA